AGACCAAGATCCTGTCTAAAAAAAGAATTACAGAAATGGATAGATGTACCACATTTATGCATGAGACTGTCAATATTATAGAAACATTGATTCTTTCAGATTTAATCCATACATTCAGTGCCAGTCCAATCAAAATCCCAATATAATGCCAAGGAATTTTACAAACAGATGTTAATATTACAAATGAAGCCACCCGGCGCGGTGGCACACACCTGGAATCCCAGCACTCGGGGCTGACCCGGGAGGAATGTGGCAAATTCAAGGCCGGCCTGGGCTATGTAATGAGAGCCTATTTTAGGGTTCTTTTTTTTTTTTTTTTTTTTTGGTCAAACAGGGTGCTGTGCCACTGCGCTGTCTCCCCAGCCCATGAGATCCTGTCTTAAAAAACAACAGCAACAAGAACAACAAAAATTCCAAATGACAAAAGCAATGTTCCAAAAATAGCCAAGAAATTCTGAAGAAAAATAAAATAAAATTCTGCAGAAGGACAACAAGCAAGGATGCATCATGACAGGACGCTCCCTATCACATTTCAAGTGTTATGAGGAAATTAACATCAGGGGCCGGGAATATGGCTCAGCGGCACAAGCAACTGCCTGGCAAGCTCAAGGTCCTGAGTTCGATTCCTGGTACCAAAGGAAAAAGAAGAAGAAGAAAACTAATAGCATTGAGGAAGAGTGACACGAACAAAAGGATAAACAAATAGTCCAAAGGGACAGAGTAAAGGCCTCGGGACAGAGAGCACATCTGTGGAGATGCAGCACATGCCACAGCAGGGATGGTGTCGCTGACCAGGGCTGGTCCCCACCCTGGCCTGACTGAGCAATGGCATCCAGGAATCCTGAGGACCTTTTGTGAGAAAGGGGTCTGTGATAGATACAAGTGCTGCATTAGATGTGTGTGTGTGTGTGCGTGTGCACACACATGTGCAGGGGAGATGTGTCACCGCGTGGAGTAGGTTTGTTTGCAGTGAGTGGATGGAGGTCTCCCATGTGGTAACGGGGGTCTTCAAAGCAGGTGCACACGTCGTGTCACGAACGATGTGCTTCATTGAATGGGTTGCGGTGTGCATCACGTGCAGGCATAGCGTGTCGGCTGGCTGCAGTTTGCGTATTGTGTGTATCGAGGTATGAGTGCGATGACGTCTATTGCGTGTCTTGTGCGCATGCGTGATGTCTTTTGTACTTTGATGTCTGTTTTATATTACGTTGCTTGGTGACTGTTAAGTGTCTGCGGGGTGTGTGTGGGAGGATGTGTGCTGAGTGTGTGTCCATGGGGGGGTTGTAGGGGGGAGTCGGACAGAAGCTGACTTGCTCTGAGGACATTTCCAGAACCTGAGCATCTCCAGGATTCTTTGGGGCAGCTGACAAGGCAGCCAAGCCTGACCCTCTCACCCAGACCCCCAGCCTCTTACCTGAGCAACAGCGAGGATGGAGGTCGCGAGGTGACACGGAGGCTGAGGGGGAGAGAGGGCTGCTGAAAGCATGCTTCTGGCTCAGCCTCAGGGAGCTGAGGCCGCGGGGTGGGAACAGGAAGGCAGCAGAAGGCCGGCCCAGAGGCAAGTCGGCCGCTGCGCTGTCCTCCAATCGCTCCTTGTTTGATGGCAGCGGCAGCAGGATGAACAATTAGGGGAGGCTTGTCTGCCAGCTCTGCTGGGTGGGGAGGCCAGGAAGCCAACTCTTTGGGTGGAGCTTGGACCCCAAGGTCACAGAGAATACCCACATCCTCCAGGGTGATTTGGTAAATGAAAATCACTTCATTTACCCAAGCTGCTGCCTAGCACCCCAGAGCCAGGGTCAACTTGTTTCGAGGTTTGGCCTTGTATGTACAAAGTCCTGGATTCGATTAGCAAGGCACCAACATAATAATGTTTCGGCTGAGGGTGTAGCTCATGGTACAGTGCACACTTAGCACGCACAAGGCCCTCTGGTGGATCCCCGGCGCCCCAAAAAAAAAAAAGGAAGCTTTTCAGTTTTCAATTCCAGAAATTCCGATCCCACAAGCCCAGTGGTAGGGCCCAGCCAATAAAATGTCAATAAGCACCCAGGGAATTCCACAGAAGCGTCCTAGAGCTGAGCAGGCTCGGTGGGACGCTGAGAAACTCAGGACGGAAGGAGGAGAGTTCAGTCGTGTGGAAGGTCTTTCTAGCTGTGCAAACTTATTTCCCACCTTGAGAATAACTGCCCCCCTGAGCCACAGGGACGGAGTGAGAAGCCCAGCACCCCTGAGGGAACCCCAGCCGCTCCCAAGCCCCTTACCCCCATCCCTGCCTGATGGTGCCAGCCCTGGCTGAGTTAACCTGCGAGCCCATTGAAGATCTAGCTGTCTCCTCACCAAACACACACACACACACACACACACGCATCCCACCCTGAATCTTTTTTTAGGGGGGTCTTTTTGAGACAGGGTCTCGCTATGCAGTTCAGGCTGGCCTTGAGCTCACTTTGTAGCCCAGGCTGGTCTCGAACTCACAACGATCCTCCTGCCTCAGCCTCCCGAGTGCTGGAATTACAGGCGTGCGCCACCACCCCCGGCCCCACCCTGAATCTTGAAGCACAGTCTTCAGACACCAGAAAGTGTCTGTGGTGTCCTCGGTTCTCAGGGAGACCACACTGGGCCGTGGGGCAGGAAGGAGCCGCCACTGCGCCCCACACGGTGCAGAGCACCTGGTTTCTCCAACTTACCCCACCTGCAGGCAACACCTGCAAGATGAGGAAGCGGAGCCTCAGGAAAGTTTCAAGACTTGCACAAGGCCTCTCAGTCTGAGCGCAGCAGGACTCGCACTCCCGTCTGCAGCGGTGCACCTGCAATCCCAGCTACTTGGGACGCTGAGACAGGAGGATTACTTGAGCTCACAAGTTAAGAGACCAGCCTGGGCAACATAGTGAGACCATCTCAAACAAATAATGACAAAAATAAAAAGAGACAAACAAACCCCCGGGGTTGGGGGTATAATTCAGAGAGACAGCACTTGTCTAGTTTGTTTGATTCCCCAGCACCACAAACAAAAACCTCCAGGCTACTGGGGATTTGCTCTTTTGCCCGTACACAAAACCTCACTGGAGCTCACAGGAGAGAAATGGAGGTGATTTTACCCTCATTTTGCCAGAGGGGGCAGCTAAAACCAGAGTGAAGAAATGATTCACCAGGGCCCCAAAGCTTGTGCGTGGCAAAGCAGACTGCTAAGAAGCACCGTGCTCCGTCCCCAACACTCCTGCGGAGCCCTGGGCCCCACTTCCTAAGCACACGTAATTTCCGGCAAGGGGCAGATAAGCTGGTTGTGCCAGGATGGGGCTGAGGGAGAGCGGAAGGAGTGGAGAGGCAAATCTCACTCCTCTAAGGTTGCCCAGGCTTGTGTGCAGCTCCTACACTGCCTTCCACGCCACAGGAGCCCAGGGAGGCAAAAGGGCCAGAAGCTCTGCCCGGCTATGGAGGCAACTGAGAGGCCGCAGATGACTGGACTGCCAAAGACAGTGACCGGTGTCTCGCGTCAACACTTTGTTTTTGTTTGTTGGGCCACGAATATAGCTCAGTGGCACAAGCGCCTGCCTGGCTAGCGCAAGGTCCTGAGTTTTGGTTCCTGGTACCCCCCCAAAAAAAGAGAGAGAGAAACATAATGTTCTTGTTTATTAAGATAGCATTCTGTTTTGCTGCCCAAGCTGGCCTCAAGCTCCTGGGCTAAAGTGATCCTCCTTCCTCAACCTCCCTAATAGCCAGAACTCCAGGCATAAGTTACCACACACGGCTCTACATTTTATTTTAAAGGTACAATTCTCAGTCAAGCGTGGTGGCACATGCCTATAATCCCAGCCTCGCGAGAGGCTGAGGCAAGAGGATCACAAGCGTGAGCTGAGCCCAGCCTGGGCGACTTAGCCAGTTAGTGAGACACCGTCTCGAAATAAAAAATTAGAAAAGGGCTGAGGAGGTAGCACAATGTGAAGGATCTGGGTTCAATCAGCAGTACCATAAAAAATAAATACTAGCTGGGTGTCGTGGCACAAGCCTGTAATCCCAGCACTTGGGAGGCCGAGGCAGGAGGATCATTGCGAGTTCAAGACCAGCCTGGGCTACAAAGTGAGTTCAAGACCAGCCGAACTACAGAGTGAGACCCTGTCTCAAAAAGACAATAAATAAATAAATAAATAAATGTACAATTTTCACTTTATGCACAAGGAAGCTGAGGTTCAGGGTTGACGTCATCGCTGACCCAAATGCCAGGACTCACCCAGACTGACTCCTTCCCCTTCACCTGCATTCAGCAGTGCCTTGGCAGCGGCTGGCAGCGCAGATGGAGGTGTGGGGTGGTGACTGCTCCATTACTCACAGCGAACCACAGGAAGTGGAGTGGAGAGGCTCATCCAGCCTCTCAAGTGCTGGGCCCTGGCGTTCCTCCAATGAGGATCTCCTGCACAGAGCTGCCCTCCACCTCTGCATGGGTGAAGGGGCTGCAGAGGGTTCAACAGCCCTGCCCCAGGGCCGGTCTTGAGACGCTGCCTCAGTCTGGGGCCCACATGCACACTCCTCCTCTCCCTGGACAGGGCATCCTGAGATAACTGCTCTAAGCAGGGTCACGACCAGGACCGGGACACTGCTGACCTTCCAGGCAGGTCTGGGACCAAACTGTGGCAGAAAAAGTGTGAAGACTTTGGTTCTTCTAGGAAAACAGCCTGCCCGGACTAGAAGCCTTGTTCCTTCATGTGACTCCATGTTCCGTCCTCACCTCCCCTCACGCCTGTGCTCCTGGCATGGCAAAGGAGGTTCAGTTCTGCCAACAGGTTACTCGCTCACCAGGAGGCCCTCTACGTATCCGACTGGTATTCCCTCTGACGGAAACACCTTCGCGAGTCCCCTCCATCAGCGCCACACGATTAGCTGGCAGACCCTCCCTCCTTCCTCGCTGACATTTCATTTCAGTGGGAACCGCAGCGCCCGTCCCTGAGGAACTGGGCTTTGCCTACAGCCTGCCCATTCGCCTTTGCTGCTCTCGCAGCTGAACTCACCGCTGGTGGCATCCACAGGACTCACTCCCCGGGCAACGACCTCTGAGAAAACTGCTTCTCAGATGAATTCCTCCTGCTTCCAGTGTGTTAGCAGGTGTGGTGCTGGCGCAGGCTTCCTACAGCTGAAGGATGACAAGCCCTCCAGGGATGGGGCACAGGAAGAATCTGCTTCCTTGGTGGTCACTGAGCTATGAACGATACCTGAAACTGCCTGCCTCCAGATTTACATAAGCCAAGTAGTTCCCCCTTTGCCAGTTCCCCTTGCAGCTGAAGACATTCCTAACCGATGTGTCAGCTTCTCAGTGTCAACTTTTAAACAGGTTACTTTCTCCAGGAAATAGCCCCTGGTTGCTAAAGACAAGATCAAGGGAATGTTTTTCTTGGAGTGGTGCATCGTGCCTGTCTGTTACTTTCTTTGACACTGAGACACAATACCAACACCTACAAATTAAAGGACAGGTTGATTTTGCCTTGCATTTTCAGTCCGCAGCTGGCCAGCTCCATAGCAGAAAGGCCTGGTGGAAAGGTCTGATGGAAGAAAGCTGCTCACATCACAAAAAGAGAAGGAAAAGAGAAGAAAGGAGCCAGGAAGGAAGGTGGATCCTTCCAGGTATGGCCCCAGTGACCTGCCGCTCCCAACCAGACCCACTAGAATCAAAAAGGAAACCCACACTGGGCGTGGTGGCGCATGCCTGTAACCCCAGCACTTGGGAGGCTGAAGCAGGAGGATCGTTGTGAATTCCAGACCAGCCTGGGCTACAAAGTGAGCTCAAGTCCAGCCTGAACTGCGTAGGGAGACTGTCTCAAAGACATAAAAAAAAAAAAAAGGAAACCCATCTCCAACAGCAAGCTGGCTGTTAACACCCCCTCAATTCCACAGCCCCACCTCTGAGCACATGAGGCTTTGAGGGATGTTCCAGATCCAAGCCACAACAGTCTCTCGAGATCTTTGTACTTGTTCACCTGCCTATAGGCCCCGGCTGTGAGGCAGGTAGCAGGGACCCGCTGGTAATCACCATGCTCCTGTTTTGTTTGTGAGACAAGGTCTTGCTGTGTAGCCCAGGCTGGCCTCGAACTCATGATTACAGTCACGCGTTCCCACACCCAACTGTCACCATTTTATTTCTAACCAGCAGTTTGTTGAATAAATAAGCACACCTGCAGATGAGATTAATAGTAGTTTGTTGTTTTTTCTTTTGGAGACAACTCTTAGGCTGCCCGGACTAGATCTCACTTGCAACCCTCCAGTCTGCCTAAGTAGCTTCGATCATGGGCGTGCACCACACCTGGGGCCCTGGCACAACCTTCTGAGGGCAAAGAGGAGCTTCCAGATGGTTCAACTGAATGACCACCCCTTAACCTCTGAGGGAGGGGCACACACGAGACACCACATGGAGAGGGTCACTTTGCCCGCCTAGAGAGCCAGGGGCTACTCCCTGCACTGGTGGCAGGGAGACCCCCTCCACCTTGCTCTGTTACTCGCCAGAGCCACACTCACCGCTGCCTGTCCATTCACGTGCTCAGCTGCACTTGGAAGGTCAGCGGGGTACCCAAGCTTCTACCTCCTTCCACAAAGAAGCAAATCAAAAGTTGCACAGTCTCAATACTGTCACGCTGTCCCTTTCAGTCTTATACCTGTTCACTCACCTGCAAGACACTGCAAAAAGTCTCACTTTGAGTCATCCGGTTTCTCCTATTTTTGCATTTTGTGTGTCTCCTTTCTACTTCCTTTACGCCCCTCCCAAAGTCTGATCCTGTCTCCCACAAGCAGACATCCGAGCACACGCCCTAAGCTGGACAGTTTCATGTATTGCTTCACTTAATCCTTACAATGATGTCTCATTTTACACAGGATAACAGAATACTGACAACACCCAGTGAGTATGATAGCTATCTTCGACATGCCACAGGGAATCCTCCCTAAAAGCTGCCATAGCAATTTTATTTTCTATTTGGTTTTGTTTTTTTGTTTAGTGGCACTAGAGATAATCCAGGCCCTTGCACAGGCTAAGCAAGCCCTCCACCACTGAGCTACATCCCCAGCCCCTGCCACAGTAATTCCTATTCCCATTTTGTCAATGAAAAAACAAGGTCCAGCAAATACACCGTAGCGGGCGGTGTGTCTCCAGCCCCCAGGCATTTAGGGTTAGGCCAAGCCAGGTAAGAGACCTAAGCCTGGAATAATACCTGAGGGAGAGTATAAATGGTTTGAGTACAAAAATTTATTATACATAAAGAATATCACCACTAAGGAATGTAGACCGGCTCGGACAGGACCGTACTGGGCGCTGGACGGAGGATGGCTGGCTCTCTGGAGAGCGGACAGCTTTGGGTAGCTCGGAGGTTCGCGGCACGCTGACGGGGCGCTGAGTGACTGCTTTGTGTCCTCTGTGCCCACGCTGCCGTCCCCGCCTGATGTGGCGCTCCAAAGGACGGCACAGCTCAAGGCAAACAAGCGACGCCACGGGGCTTCCCAGGGCGGCCCAGGCTTGGCCCTGAAGTCACAGCAACACCACTGTAAGCAGTATGTTTAATTGGATGATTTCCACCAACTATACATGAAGTGTCTAAACATCGCAATTGAGTGAAGTACAAAACATTAAGTTACAGGCTGTGGGAAGAGAAGGCAGCATCACTGGCGGCTCCTTCCAATCCTGGTTGTTCTAGGGGGAAGGCGGGGGAGGTCTCTTTTAAACCAAGCCCCTCGTTTCAATGTACAAAAGAATTACTCTGATCAATATTAAATTGTACTGAAAAGAAAATGGAGTAAAAAGCAAATACTACTCTATGTGTGGGTGGAGGTGGGGGGAGAGAATGAGTCCTTGAAAGCAGGAAGGAGAGCGCTCGGGGACGGCTCCGCGGCGGTGACCCAGGCGGTCACTCGCGCTGCTCCATCTTCACTTTTGGCGGTCTTAGGAAGGTCCGATTTTTCTTTTCTTTCTTCCCCTTTGTATTTGCTTGGAAGTTTCGCCAGCTGTCCACCCGACCATCTCGACTTTCCTAAGGAGAAAGAACCAAAAAAGTTTGAGGTGAATAGACTATAAGCTGCCCTGCCATCTTCCCACTCTCCTCTGCCCCAGCCCGGGCCAGTCCTCTAGAGTAATTCAAGAGCAGAGCAAAATTTTGCTCTTGCTGGACGTGGTGGCGCACACCTGTAATCCAGCACTCGCGGGAGGCTGAGGCAGGAGGATCACTGTGAGTTCAAGACCAGCCTGGGTTACACAGTGAGTTCAAGGCCAGTGTGAACTACACAGCGAGACCCTGTCTCAAAAAAAAAAAAAAAAAAAAAACAAACCCGCAGAGTTTTGCTTTCATTTCCAGGGGCCTAGGAAAGCAGGATGGGGTCTCTGGAAGGCAGGATGAGCTCCAGGCTAGAGGAGCAGGGCATAGTCACTAACCCTTACCACAACACAGCCCCCATTTGTTGGTGTCTTCTGAGCTTTTGGGTTTTTTCTTTTAGCTTTATAGTGCTGGGGGTGGAACTCAAGGCATGTATTACTTCTAACCCTCACAAAACCTAAATAGTAGCCTGGTGTGGTGGCACATACCTCCCACTCCCTCAGTGGGAGGCTGAGGCAGGAGGATCACCATGAGTTTGAGGCCGGCCTGGGCTACACAGTGAAGTCAAGGCCAGCCTCAACTACATAGCAAGACCCTGTCCCAAAACAAACAAGCAAACAAACAAAACAAATATATATATAAAACAAAAGCTGAGTACTGTACGGATTACCCCCAGCATTTCACAAATGGTAACACTAAAGTTAAATTATTCCTTCAAAACTATACAGCTAGCCAGCAGCAGAGCCACTCTTTCTACCACACCCTCTTACTGCCCCTCCAAACTTGGACGGATGCCTCAAACACAGCTGTGCTGAGAAAGACACAATGACCTCTGCCTCATTATGAAGAGCCTACTCGTTTTCTATCTTCTCATACAGGAAGTGCGACAGAAACAAATCACCAACTCTGGCTAGCCACCTCTACCTAGGTCCTGTATCCTACAAGGAAAGACCAAATGTTGCTACAATCCAGAAATTGGCCAAACACCTGAGGGAATCTAAGAAGAGTGACGTTCAAAAGCCACAGCTCCTTCTACAGCAAGGACAGTGGGGTCACAAGAACCTTAGTGTCTACTAACAGTCTTCTTAGTAGGGTGCTACTCTTGGTTTATTCCCTAAATTAAGTGTGAATCTACTTTTCTCAGGCCCACTTGGCAGTTATACCTTCCTCTCTCTCAAAAAAACCCAGTGGGGGATCCTCCCGGTCCTTGGCAAGGCCACAGACTTACAGGAGGCTGAGCCAGCGCCAGGCCCACCGGCCGCGGCTCCCACTCTTCCCAAGTCCCACTCCCCTCTCCCTGTCCCGCTCGGTCCTGGGAACACCCAGGACCCAAGTTTCCTTATGCCAGAATAAGAATCCTGGCCACCATGGCCACGTACCTCAAAGTTTTTCTGCCACTCTCTTTCTCGCTTGGCTTTTTCTTGAGCTTCAATCTCTTCTTCCCTTTGTCGTTTCCTAAGGGAAAAGCACAGCGAGGGTGTACAAGTTAAGGTGTGTCCCTTATCAACTAGAGGTCTGACAGACGGCTGTCCGGAAAGGACTCAACCCATCTGCACGAAGGTCTCACTCTACAACAGGCAGATCAGACTGCGGGGAGGGGTTTAGAAAGACATAAACATGCCTGTTACCCAGACAGCCTGCGAACAGCAATCTGAGGTTTTAGGCTCAGTCAGTGACAAAGCTTTGTCAACACAGACCACCTTACTTCCGAAGAATGAACATGACAGTGGAGGTTCTTCATCAAGATCTCTGAACAAAATTTAATCCTACAATAAGGACCTTTTGCACAACTAGCATAAATATCTAGTTACTGTTAAACGTCAACCAATAATACAAATATACAAACCAACTTCGATATTTCTTTCCTTTTTTTTGTCTTTTTGAGACGGGGTTTCACTATGCAGTTTAGGCTGGCCTGGAACTCACTTTATTTTTTATTTTTTATTTTTTTTTTTTGGTTTTTTTCTGGTACCTGGAATTGAACTCACAACCTTGCACTTGCCAGGCGAGCACTGTGCCGCTGAGCTAAATCTCCAGCCCCTGAACTCACTTTATGGCTCAGGTTAGCCTCAAACTCACAGCCTTCCCCCTGCCTCAGCCTCCTGAGAGCTGGGATTACAGGACTGCGCCACCACGCCCAGCTCAGTATTTCTTATGACCACACACACACACACACACACAAATTGTACTTTAG